TTGTGAATGTTGCACCTATGCTGCTGGTTGTTGCCACTTTCGTCATTGCTAGATCCTAGGCTTTCAGTGCATTTCACTTTCTGATATGCTACATATCAGTGCAGCCAACATTTTCTGTTGTACGGCCTGCACTTCAGCTACACTTAACAAGGAATTCCGAAGGGACAGCACCAAAGGGTCAAGAGTCGACTCATCTATAGCTTCTAGTCTGCCTAGCTCCTAGGCCCTTAACTCTAGCCTGACTTTTCTTAGTCTGGCTCTCTCGCTCCTATCCTCTACCTCCTGCAACTGGCGCTGTAACTCTGTGTGGAGAGCATCCGTTTGCTGGATCTCATAATCCTCATCTGACATATGTTGCTGCTGGCTGACCTGCAAGCCAGCAGACACACTAATGGAAGACTGGGAGACACCCTGACTGACACCTGACGAAGAGGCGTGAGATGAGGCCTGTGGCATAGTAGAGGTGGTAGCCATGGCTGCCTCGGCGTCGGCTCTAGCGTCTGCTGCTAATGCTGCTGCTAGTGCCCTTTCAGCGTTGGCTGCTGCTTCCCTAGCCCTCTGCAATGCTGCCCTCTGTCTGGCTTCTCTCCGCAGTCTCCTTTACTCTCCTTGTTCTAACACTAGGAAAGTGGTCGGCCGACTGAGTGCAAGTCTCTCGGAAAGCCTCCTATTGTCTTGGTTTAGTCCCTCAACCACACTGTCATCTCCACTCATGAGCTATGCGTGGCCTGCGATCTGTACTAGAGTCCTCACTGGGACCTACCGCAGCATGGCAACCAACCGATTAAAATAAAATAAAATAATTGTTCGGTCCAGCTTTGTCAGAAAGTAGCCAAACGGTAACAGCAGATAATCTCAGATTCCTACAAACAATTATATTCCCACTTTTGACCAGTCTGAAACAGATTGCAATGCAACAAGGAATAAATACTACGTATCTGCATCTGTCTGTCAGTTGTTAGCAATGTCCGTCCCAACTAACTGATCAAAAATAAAAATAAAATTATTTGCTGGTTGTGCATGCAGAATGGAATTTTAAAATAATAAACAATCGAACTGTTCACTGGAATCTTCCCTCCCCCTGTATCCCTCCTTGAGTAGTCACTTAATGTCAACGTCCTGAAGCTCTGGTTCAGCGGTGTGTCTGAAGGTGTGCAATCGGCCCACACCTGTGCCCCAAGTCAATGCAGAACTGGCCAGCCCCGACTGTACTATTTTTATACTCACGTACAGCACGAGTCGTGCATCCCCGCCAGAGTCTCTTTACAGACGGTCCGGTGCTCGTCTCTCCCTCATAGGCCTGGCCTGCCCGACGTGACCTCTACAGAGCAGCATGCAGACCGAAGGACAAGTGGCAAAGCATGCTTGTACTAGTCCCAGTGGGTTGGCATGGTATCCCCGCCGGAGTCTCTTTATAGACGGTCCAGTACTTGTCTCTCCCTCATAGGGCTGGCCTGCCCGACATGACCTCTACAGCGCAGCATGCAGACCAAAGGACAAGTGGCAAAGCATGCGTGTACTAGTCCCAGCGGGTTGGCTGCCCGTGACCCGAGTGCTTCGTCCAGGGCCCTCCAGAGGCCCGTCTCCCACCAGCTTGCTCCCCAGGAAGAATGTCGACTCTCAAGGTTGAGCGCTCGCAACACCTCACAATGAGAGGATTCTCAAGACAGAACTCGCTTCCTCACGGTTAGAAGTAACGAAGAGGGTAGATAATGTGAGGAGCAACGTACCTCATAATGCTGCCCCCAGCCACAGATTTCTCACCAGTAACCTGACATGCATTTATGAGACCAGTCGATGCCTCGGCACAACCCATAATACAATGCAGTTCCACCTAGGCTTAAATGCCACATCAGCAAGCTCTCATCATCCAGCGTGCACCCCGTATGTCACCACATAGCCTTCCTGGCACGATCACATGACACTGGGCCGCCACTATACCAACACACAAGCATTATCACTGCCCCACCATACCCAGTGAAGCACCAAACAGCTATTGCGAATGAGGCAGCGGAGAGGCTTGAACCAGCTCTGATACCAAATTGCAAGGAAAATGAGCGATCGCGAAATGACAGAAATCCAGATTGCAAAATCACATTGAAACTTGAAAGCCAGCAAGTCCAACGCTCTTTAAAAAGCAGAAATGCACCGATATTCGACCAACGGAGAACCAAAGCACAAAATCCGAGTGTCAATGAGAGCATACTCTTGTCATCACCAATATATGTATCCAGAGCCCTTGCTCCTACTTGGCGCTCAGCGCCCAGCCTATGACCAAACAGCTAGTAGCAGCCTACAAATTGACAATGCATTCTGTTGACGTCAGCAGCAACAACCGCAGTACGTGAAGATGTCGACTGTGTAGACCATCGCCAAGACCAGGTATGTGCCCTCACATCACAACCTCATCTGTCTCTCTCTCTCACCCTCGACTTCTACTACCCATGTCTTCCCTCTCATGCACGAAGACCACCACCACCTCCACTGGCTATGTCCAAGCCAAGCTTGGCTATGGGGGCTGGCTATGGCACTGCCCTCATCAGCGCCCTTCACCCTGCACGTCCGCGTGTGCACGCAGCACCAGCGCTAGCGCAGCAAGCAGCCCGCGAGCGATCGCTCCAGCAGCGCTGCAGCCTGCAATTGCAAGTACCCATCTGTGTCAACTGGAGCCCATCCCTTTCCTATATGGAGAGTGGCGGGCGCTTTCCACTTGGTTCCCACGCGAGACCGAGTTTCCAGTAGCTTCAGTCTCGGCCAAACTGTCTGCGCCCAGGCCTGTTCAGACAGTGGCCTGGGACCGAATTGGTTAGGCATGCCCAACCACCCAGCCACAGATGTGCGATGCTCCCTGCTTCGACCACGTTGCTGGAAGAGCCTGGAAGGCTCACAAATATTTTGGATTCTCACGAGCAAGGCAGATGTAACCAACTGGCGCGTGGCAACTATCTGGCGCCAACCAAGATTTGCAAAAATTGAAGAGTTCACTTAGGGCGGGCATGTGCCTGCTGCAGGGCCCTATGCCGAGGCATAAACCCTCACAGAAGGGTATGTCGAGCTGCGGCATACGGATCTCAGCCAAGCACAACAGGAGCAACAAAATCACCCGTATATATTTTTTGTTATCATCAAATACGAATGGAACTTTTTTCTGTGGACTCTTTCTGGCAGCTAGTGGTCTCTGTTGCTCCTTATGCTGTCACGGGTGCAGGTCGTTTTTTTTTTCTTGTTCAAAAAAAAGGAAATATAGAAACATTACTCTCTTACGTAGAGTTCAAAGGGAAACCAAGAGGCTGTTTTTTCAGGTACTTGGGTACCCGGGCGCCCAACTTATGCCCGGATACATGCCCGAGTGCCTGGCCGGACATGACCCCCAGCCACGCCCAATACTATATTTAGTGGGAAGGCAGTCCAGTTCGACAGATTTTCAGTTGGGCAACATTGTGAGCAGCAGACTGTTGGAGCGCCGGGCTAGAGGTAGAGGTAGAGGAGTAGGAGGTAGTGGGAGAGCGGAGGCTGGACAGCCATAGCTGCTGGTTGGAGGACGACTTACCTGGGTGCCACAGCTTGGACTGCACTCCAGATTTGCATCAGAGAGCGCCAGTCAGTGTTGGCAGGACTTCAGTAGCAGCAGGTGAGAGAGAGACAGGAGACTTCTCTTCTTCTTCTTCTTCTTCTTCTTCTTCTTCTCCGTCTTCCTGCCTCCAACCTCCATAGTCACCGTTCTTCTTCTTCCTCCTCTTCTCCTTCTTCTCACACACAGAGACAGAGAGAGAGAGAGAGAGAGAGAGAGAGAGAGAGAGAGAGAGAGAGAGAGAGAGAGAGAGAGAGAGAGAGAGAGAGAGAGA